TTATGAAGAAACTAGATTTTTTTTATTTTTATTGGATATGTTTTATCGTCGGAAGTAAAAAATATTGTCAAAAATACCAACAAAAGAAAACTCTATTTGTGTAAAAAAAAGAAAAAAAGATATAAATTTCATTTGGGTGCAGTGTTACATGACCGCACAATTGCCAGTTAAAGTGTCGCAGTGCTAAATAGCAAAAAATAGCCTGGTCATGAAGGGGCTAAAATCTTTCGCAGATGAAGTGGATCATGAAGCATACATTACTTGAAAGATTTACAGATCCCACAGCTTAATGCATGTCCACAAATGACAACAGTAAAAAAAAAAAACACCTCTTTTTGTCTGACATAATAGGCACTGGCCCACTGTGTCTACTGGTAGATCTAATCCAGCTGCTAGCATTTCCAGGAGCCAATGCCAATGACAGCAGCTATTCTTCTCCCATGATAGACTAATCTGCATTTTATATAATACTGAACACATCTAACAACATACAGTGCATATGATACAGGGAACAGTACTCACTTCTTATAACTCATATTTCATATGCCATAAGGTAGCCTGTAGCAAGGTAGGAAAACAAACATGAATTGCTACAGCTATGATTTCAGGCATAATACAATGACACGTCACATTTCTATTTTCACTCTATCCTTGGGATTTCTTGTTAATTGCTTTGGTACTAATGTTCACTGTGAAAACGTAATTACATTTTCACAACAACAATGTTTATCAAATGAATAGACAGGTGTAAAAAGCCATCAAAGGCTCAGCTTTTCTTTATTGGTGTGCTTCATGCTAAGTATGTGATCATTTCATTCAGAAGACTTCAGAAAATCGAAGAAGAAAAATGCTTACGGGGCTAATGATAAATGCGTTCAAAGTAGCCATCTGATTTCTAACAATCTGAACATCTGATCCACAGAAGCCATTGAATATTTTGAAGGTTACTTTTAAAGAGGATGTCATCTCATATTGCTGGCTTTCCACAGTTTTTGCTGCTGATCTAAATTGATTAGGAAAATAATTGATTACCATTTGAAATGAAAAGAAGAAAGAAAGATCCAAACAGGCAAAAAAAAAGGGAAAATTGGCAACAAATAAAAAAGAAAACGATGAGTTAAAGGATTGGCCAGAGATGGAATTCACACTTGACTAGACAGACTTGCTGAATGTTTGTAGTAAATTCAAAGTTCACAGCAAAGATTGGTTCCATTTTACCTTCATGTGTAGACCCTTCGGGTAATTAGCAGGTCCTTCAAAAAGCATTAAGCTGGCCATAGATGGATCGAATCTCAGCAGGTTCAGCCGAGGTTTGATCCATCTGTGGGCAAGCTGGTTGTACTGAAGTCAATCCATTGATTGTCTTCAGTACAAGTAGCCCTTCAGATTTTGTGTGTTCAATTACTACCAGTGGCTTTCAGTGATCATTATGTTCTGCCATAGGGGAAGGCTCCCTGCTGGCAGAACACAATATCTCTATAACAGGGATTCCCCTGCTAATGTTGATTGTGTTGATGAGGGAATCAAGCGATTTTCTGTCCCACAACCCGCAATTTCAGAAAAGAAAATCACATTATCTATGACTTGCCTTAGATTTGCCCTGTATATCCTTTTACAGCAGATAATCAGCAGTAGTCATATGCTTAAGCTGGCCATAGATGGGTAGAAAATTGCTCACAAATTAGTTTGCATTTGATAGCATACATCTGTTGAATGAGCATGCAATTACACCATCATTGATACAAATTTTTTCCCCTCACTTGATTATGTATTGTTCCTTTATGAGACAAAAGGTACTTTTTTTACCGATTGATTTCCCATGCTGATGCGCAGTATGAATTTTTGTGTTATTCCCGATCAATTCCATTACTCAAGCTTCAAAAATCGTTCACTGACACTACAAAATTCCAACATCCTAGTTTTTTTGCCACAAATCTTTGCATTTGAAGAATTGAAATGAAACCATTAACAGTTAGAAAGCTGAGCGATCTAGCATTTTGAATGATCTTTCAAATGATTTTCTCCCCATCTATAGCCAGCTTTAGTGATTTCCCCATGTAAAAGCAAAAGAGTGGGTGGCCCTTTATCACCAGGGAAAATTAAATAACAGCACCAGTATTTTTTCTTTTGTTAATGTAAAGAGCTTGCTGGGCACCTTTTGTAACTAACAGGTGTGTAAGTGAGTAGCATCAGTGAAGAACTTGATATATAGTGAGTAAGATGGAAAATTCAGGGAAGGATTGTAGTCTGTTGCATTTGTTGTCTACAAGCATTTGAAAGTGCACCAAGCATCCATATCTTACATACTCAGGAAATAGACCAGCAAGCACACCTATATTACATGCGCATAACAAACAAAACAAAAAAAGTATTTTTGACTTACCTGTAAATTTGTTATCTTGGAGTGCAGTAAAAGACACAGGACTTGTATTCAAAGACCAAAGAGAGTTATTTGGAGGCTACCTTAGATGACTGGACACTGGCAAAAAAACTTGCTCCTAGTGCACACTCATATAAGAAGTAATTAAGCAATAGGGGCCTGTATCTTGCACTGTACTCTATAATAGGGAATTTACAGGCAAGTAAAAATTCCTATTACCTTGATTATACAGTGCAGAGTAAAGGATGTGTATTCATAGACCATGGGATGTCCCCAAGCAGTAAACTAAGGGGTGGGCAACAACAAACAGAACTGTCAACAGGCCCATAAAGAACTTGAAAACACTCCAGACTTGATAACAGTCCTGATGGAATGAGCTCTGATGGGAAAGGGTGGAAATCTTTCCTTAAAGGATCAGTTTACCATTGGGAGCATGTTACACATTCCACCCATTTTAGGGTGGAACATGTAACTTGTTCCCGATCCTGCAGCCACTGCCTGCTGCCGCCCTCTCACTATGATAGAAGTATGGGGAGAAGTTCCCCATACTAGCTGTCACTTTCCAAAAACAGCATGGCCATGGGGGCTCCGCCCCCTTGGCCGCGTCATTCATTCACAGTCCTCCGTCAATGAATGGAAGGCAAACTTGCATATCAGGTCTTTAATTAAAATGACTCTAATCTGTTCAAAGGGTTGTCTGTGAAGTAAAATGAGCATCACATTGAAGTCTCAAGATGACACAGGAGGAGGAAATGAGTGAATTTATATGAGCAACCTTGTGAAGAAAATTCTCGATTGGGGATTGTAAGGTTAGAGGTTTCTGGAATTTCAAATCTTATGTGCAGCACAATACTAAATATATACAAATACATTATAAAAATAACACTTAAAAATGTATAATGACACTACGCAAACCTCTGCAAAAAAATGCCACCTAAAAATACAGCACAAGCTTCCACATGCTGGTTTCTGGAAGACAATGAATAAGGCAGAAACCTGACTCTGCATGGTACTGAGGGCTAGATGCTGGTCAAAACTAGACTGAAGAAAGGCCAAAACACAAGTGATCATGTGTTGATAATTGTTAGTGGCACCTCTAATAGATACACAACTAAGTGCAGCATTCCTTTTAGCTGGTTCCAGGCACTTGAATGCAGAAGAGCTAATTTGTGTGTATATTTGGTTGCTTAGCAGCGGACAATACATGAAGGTTTTTGCATGATGAATGGATTCTAGCCAGTCCCTCAATTATATAATTTCCAATGAAATGCACAGAGCGTGGCTATGAAGTCTTGAGTTCTGACTGGAGCTAGGAGCCCAGTATGGCTGATTCAGCCTGCTACACTGGAAATCTTGCACATTTACAAGCGCAGCTGTCTCATCCTAATATATGAGGATTTTTATCAGCAGTTTTTGCTCATTTGCATGCTTTTTAGGAATTGTTTTGCACAACTCTGAAAGTAGTTTTTACATACTTCACCATGGGATTTTACCAATTTTATTTTCTTATGGTGTATATCTAATGGAGGTGGAAATATCCTGAGGGAGAACACATTTTGAGCTGGACATTCCGTGTGATGTGGAATGAATTTGAGTGCTATTTGACCATTTATAACTTAATGATCCACTTTCAATGGAAAGAGGCTCCTTAAATGGTGACATGTGGTGGTGGATACACATCTTTTCCAGCAGAAAGGGGTGTGGGGACACTGCCAACAGCACACCAGTTGTTACACACAAGTTGTTATTCTCACAGACTTTTGCTTGATTTTTGTTTGCACTTATACTGTACGTACGGATTCTAAACTCCAGTTAACACGGATTATTGGTGTAAAAATCTTTATTATTCTGTACAATAATTTTCTTATATTATTGCACCTTTGCACAATATTGTGTTTTCTATTTATATATATATATATATATATATATACACTATATTGTCAAAAGTATTGGGATGCCTGCCTTGACACGCACATGAACTTTAATGGCATCCCAGTCTTAGTCCGTAGGGTTCAATATTGAGTTGGCCCACCCTTTGCAGCTATAACAGCTTCAAGTATTCTGGGAAGGCTGTCCACGAGGTTTAGGAGTATGTCTGTGGGAATGATTGATCGTTCTTCCAGAAGCACATTTGTGCGGTTAGGCACTAATGTCGGACGAGAAGGCCTGGCTCGCAGTCTCCTCTTTAATTCATCCCAAAGGTGTTCTGTTGGTTTGAGGTCAGGACTTTGTGCAGGCCAGCCAAGTTCCTCCACCCAAAGCTTGCTCATCCATGTCTTTATGGACCTTGCTTTGTGCACTCATGCACAGTGTGCAGTCATATTGGAACAGGAAGAGGCGATCCCCAAACTGTTCCCACAAAGCTGGGAGCATTAAATTGTCCAAAATGTCTTGGTATGCTGACGCCTTCAAAGTTCCCTTCACTGGAACTAAGAGGCCAAGCCCAACCCTTGAAACATAACCCCACACCATAATCCCCCCTCCACTAAACTTTTCACTTGTCACAATGCAGTCAAGCAAGTACTATTCTTCTGGAAAGTGCCAAACCCAGACACATCCATCAGATTGCCAGACAGAAAAGTGTGATTTGTCACTCCAGAAAATATATCTCCACTGCTGCAGTGTCCAGTGGTGGCTTGCTTTACCACTGCATCTGAAACTTTGCATTGGACTTGGTAATGTAAGGCTTGGATGCAGTTGTTCGGCCATGGAAACCCATTCCATGAAGCTCTCTAGGCACTGTTGCTGTGCTAATCTGAAGGCAACACAAATTTTGGAGGTCTTTGGCTATTGACTCTGCAGACAGTTGGCGACTTCTGCGGACTGTGCACTTCAGCATGCAATGAGCCCACTCTGTCATTTTATGTGGCCTACCACTTTGTTGTTGAGTTGCTGTTGTTCCCAGTTACTTCCACTTTGTTATAATACCACTAACAGTTGACCGTGGAATATTTACTAGCAAGGACATTTCACGAATGGACTCATTGCATAGGTGGCAACCTATCACAGTACGACGCTTGAATTCACTGAGCTCCTGAGAGCGACCTATTCTTTCACAAATGGAGAAACTCTCTTTTTAATGGGATTTTAAAGGCACAAACAAAGCAAATGTAACTATTGGGTTCATAAACATTTTATAAAACCATCCTTTATTAGACACAGAATATTTAAAAGTTACCACAGACATACATAATGTAGCGGTTATACATTATATATCTGTTATAGTTAATACACAGGCAGGAGACAATGGAATGGGGATCATGAAACAGTACTTGACACGTTTCGAGATGAGACAATCTCTTCCTCAGAAGTGCTTAAATAGAACATAATGCCTATGAAAATAATATATAAGTATGATTATAACACTATGTACATCCATTTATGATTTCATTCACAAATATATGAAAATCACTTAAATTTTCCAACATTGGAACAAACATAGCGGACCGCCACTTGTTATAAAACTAAAGACTGTATATGTAGCCACTGTATCCCAGATCAGTGTTGCCTCCTAGAGTGGCCCCCCAAGGGCACCACCAGGGGTACAAGCCAAATGTTTCAAAACTCCAATTGATCTCAAAAAGATATAATAATAATAATAATGAAAAAAATTAAATAACTAACAACCTGATGCAAAAAATGCCACTACATATTGCCCTTGTTAGGGCAAAAATATGCTTACTAAACAATCAGAATTCAGATCATCTTCCACAAGCAGAACCACAGATTGTTGCTGAAAGAGTGAGATAATCTGTCCAGTGGCCGCATATGCACAATGTGGGCAATAAAGATGGCATCCTATATTGGAAGAGATGACTTGGAATTTCACCAATCCCAGTCCACATAAAAAAAAAGGTGGCCTATCATGCTTCTAATCATCCATGTTAGCCACTCCCCTGCCTCAGGGCATAAGGCACCACCACACCCAGCGTCGCCATGATGACATCACGCAGCTGCCAAAGCGCAATACAAACCCAGAATTTTGTTTTTCCTACATAGAAACAATTACAGTCATAGGTTAGCAGATAAACCACTCACTTTGTTTTACAGTTACCATACTGTTTAGGTGTAAAATTTTCTCCATTGTGTAAAATGAGTGATTTGTTAGTGTTCATATAGCGAGAATAGTTATACCCACCACATATTTACAGGGGTCATACCTTCCTTGTGATTTACAGTTGCAAGAAAAAGTATGTGAACCCCTTGGTATTACGTGGAGTTTTGCATGAATTGGGCATAAAATGTGCTCTGAACGTCATCTAAGTCACAACAATAGAAGAACACAGTCTGTTGAACATAATACTACACAAACATTAGATGTTGCCATGGTTTAATTGCACATAACATGTAAACATTCACAGTGCAGGAAGGAAAAAGTATGTGAACCTTCGGACTTAATAACTGGTTGACCCTCCTTTGGCAGCAATAACCTCAACCAAACTTTTCCTGTAGTTGCAGATCAGACCTGCACAACGATCTGGAGTCATTTTGGACCACTCCTCTTCACAAAACTGTTTCAGTGTAGCAATATTCTTGGGATGTCTGGTGTGAATCGCTCTCTTAAGGTCATGCCACAGCATTTCAATTGGGTTGAAGTCAGGACTCTGACTGGGCCACTCCAGAAGGCGTATTCTGTGCTGTTGCAGCCATTGTTTTGTTGAATTACTTGTATGCTTTGGGTCATTGTCCTGTTTCATCACCCATCCTCTGCGGAGCTTCAGTTGGCGGACAGATGGTCGTACGTTTTCCTGCAAAATGTCTTGATAAACTCTGGAATTCATTTTCCCATCAATGACAACAATCCATCCAGGCCCTGAGGCAGCAAAGCAACCCCAAACCATGATGCTCCCTCCGCCATGTTTCACAGTGGGGATGAGGTTTTGATGTTGGTGTGCTGTGCCTTTTTTTCTCCACACATAGTGTTGTGTGTTCTTCCCAAACAACTCAATCTTGGTTTCATCTGTCCAAAGTATATTTTGCCAGTAGTGCTGTGGAACATCCAGGTGCTCTTTTGCAAACTTCAAACGTGCTGCAATATTCTTTTTGGACAGCAATGGCTTCCTCCGTGGTGTCCTCCCATGTACTCCATTCTTGGTTAATGTTTTCCTTATTGTAGATGTGTCAACAAAAATGTTAGCATGTGCCAGAGATTTCTGTAGGTCTTTAGCTGACACTCTGGGATTCTTCTTTACCTCATGCAGCATTCTGCGCTGTGCTCTTGCAATCATTTTTTTACAGGACGACCACGCCTAGGGAGAGTAGCAACAGTGCTAAACTTTCTCCATTGGTAGACAGTCTGTCTTACCGTGGACACATGAACATCAAGGCTTTTGGAGATACTTTTGTAACCCTTTCCAGCTTCATGCAAGTCAACAATTCTTGATCGTAGGTCTTCTGAGAGCTCTTTTCTGCGAGGCATGGTTCACATCAGACAGTGCTTCTTGAAACCAGTAAACCCAAACCAGGTGTGTGTTTTTTAAGGGCAGGACAGCTGTCAGCAACACATCCAATATCATCACACTGATTGGAGTCAAGGTTGGCTCACTCCTGGCTCCAATTAGCTCTGGTAAAAGTCATTAAGCTAGGGACTCACATACTTTTTCCTCCCAGCACTGTGAATTTTTACATGTTATGTGCAATGAAACCATGGCAACATCTAATGTTTGTGTAGTATTATGTTCAGCAGACTGTGTTCTTCTATTGTTGTGACTTAGATGACGTTCAGAGCACATTTTATGCCCAATTCATGCAAAACTCCACGTAATTCCAAGGGGTTCACATACTTTTTCTTGCAACTGTATATTCACTGTGTACTAATTTATATTTAATGGAACTGGCTTGTTTGAAAGTGAACACAGGATTCTCAGATATGAATTTGTTGATGGCTGGGTCGATGGTAAGAAGATGCCAATACTTTTGCACAATCTTTTTGAATTGCATGTGTTGGTTGGAAAATGTTGTTATTATTCAGACATGATTGTTGTCTTTTTTGTTAGTAGCTTGATAGAGTAGGGTCTGTCTAGATTTATTGTATGCTTTTTTAAAAAACCTTTTTAAGACAAGTGGAGAAATATCCTCTTGCCAAAAGACGTTGTTTTAATGTATCTGCTTCCTTTTTGAAGGACTGTCTAATCCGTAAATATTGGCTGTATGGAACAGAGTTTACAAGTGGGCTGGGATGGAAACTATATATTTATATATATATAGTTGGCTGGGATGGAAACCATATAGGTCACTACCTAGGGTAACATTTTCTTTTTTATGGATCTGTACATCCAAGAAAGAGATAGTTTTAATGTCAAAAGTCATAGTAAATTTTAAATTTAAATCATTAACGTTGATTTTATCCAAATATTCTTTTAAATTGGCAATGGAACCCCCCCATATCATGGACACATCATCGATGTATCTATACCAAAGGGCAATGGACTCTACATAGGGGCCAGTTCCAAGGTGTTCATCAAGGTACATTCCTACTCCCCCAGGTACAAATTGGAGTAGGATGGGGCACAGAAAGTGCCCATTGCTATGCCTTGTACCTGAAGGAAGTGGGAACCATCGAATGAAAAAACGCTGTGATGCAGAATAAAATCCAGCGATTCCTTGATAAATTTGTTGAGACGCCAATTATCACAAGCTTTTTCAGAAAGAGTGGACAGATATTGCTTATTATCCATAATCACTATATTGCCTCCTTTGTCTGAAGGCTTTATAGTGCTATCTGAATTCATTGCAAGATTCTGTTTTTCTTGTAATGAAAGATTACCATATGAACATTTTTTCATTTGATGGTTCCCACTTTCTCCAGGTACAAGGCGTAGCTTAAATATCCCACTCACCATTATCCCACTTAAATGTTTTGAGCTTAAATATCCCACTCACCATTCAGCATATCCCCCACTATATTACATATATATATATATATATATATATATATATATATATATATATATATATATATACACACACACACACGTTACAATTTATTATTCATTTTCATATTTAATGGAAAGTACATAACAATTATTGGATGTTTGCTGTACCATCAAAAAATGTTTGTATTTATTTATGAATGTGATGAATATATGTGGCATATTTGTACTATTTGTTTGCGTGGCCACTAAGTTTCCTCTTGTTCCATTTTTCCTCTCCAGGAATTATGGTGGTTTTCTTCCCATTTTCCTTCCCTCATTGCCGCGTTTGGTTTGTCTCCCCGACACGCAAAGGCCGCTGGTCCTGCCTTGGTAGGGATGGCAGCTATTGACCCTGGGTTTGTATTGCGCATAGGCAGCTGTGTAATGCATGACGTGATCACACTGACACTGGGCATGGTGGCGCCCCGTGTTCTGGGAGTGGCTACCACGGATGATTAGAAGCATAATAGGCCACCTCAACTTGTTTATTTTTGTGTGGACTGGGACTGGTGTAATTCCAAGCCATCTCTTCCAATATAAGACGCCATCTTTATTGCCCACATTGTGCATATGTGGCCACTGGACAGCTGGTATGTCTCTTCTACATACTTTGATCTCTACTCACTGGCATACATATATGCCATTTACATACTCAATATATACGGTCTCTTTATATATTTAGTAACATCAAGGAAATTTTTCCATGCCGGTTTGCAGCAACAATCTGTGGTTCTGCTTGTGGAAGGTGACCTGCATTCTACTTGTTTAGTAAGCATATTTTTGCCCTAACAAGGGCAATATGTAGTGGCATTTTTTGCGTCAAGTTATTCGTTTTTGGGGTTTTCTTTCATTATAATTAATTTTGAAACATTGGCCTGGAATTTTGAAATATTTGGCCTGTACCCCTGGTGGCACCTTTGGAGGGGGCCACTCTTGGAGGCAACAGTAGTGGCGTGTTTTCCTTTTCCCTACACCGATCTGGGAGGATATGGGATACAGTGGCTACACATATGGTCTTTGGTTTTATAACAAGTGGTGGTCCTCTATGTTTGTTCCAATGTTGGCATATGTAAGTGATTTTCATATATTTGTAAATGAAATCATAAATAGATGTACATAGTGTTATAATCATACTTACATACTTATATCATAGGCATTATGTTCTATTTAATCACTTCTGAAGAAGAAATTGTCTATCATCTCAAAATGCGTTTCATGATTCGCATTCCATTCTCTCCTGCCTGTGTATTAACTGTAACAGATACATAATGTGGCAGTTATACATTATATATGTCTGTGGTAAATTTTAAAATATTCTTTGTCTAATATAGGATGGTTTTATAAAACGTTTATGAACTCAATAGTTCCATTTGCTTTGTTTGTGCCTTAAAAATCTCATTAAAAAGAGAGTTTCTCCATATGTGGTTTCTACAAGGGATGACGGCAATATTTTTCACCACACCCATTGTTTCTCCATTCTTTCACAAATGTTTGTAGAAGCAGTCTGAATGCCTAGGTGCTTGATTTTATAAACCTGTGGACATGGAGGTGATTGGAACACTTTGCATTTCCATTGATTTGGAGGGGGTGTCCCAATACTTTTGTAAATTAGTTTTTTTAAATGTGGATTTTCATTTGGGAATTTAGCACTATTTTTTATTTTGGAAGAGACCATGGCTCATCCATCAGAAGTCTTAGTATGTCTGTGTACCATGTTCCCTCAAGGCAGTCTTTAAATCTGCTGTCTTTTGGTCTGAAGTTGGCATGTTGGAAGGGAAGGACGGTGAAGAGATACAAACTTAATTTTGCACCTCTATGAAATGACAGATTGAACCCAGAGGTCTTGGATGTCTCGGATCCATACTGGCATAAACATCAACAAACGATCCCCCACTCTGAGGAGTTGGGACACCCCTTCATTATGAATAATGCTTCTGGGAAGGCTTGGTGGACTTAGAAGTCCAGGGCTTTTGATGAAAGGAAGTGTTAAATCTTGTTTGAGGTTGATGCCAGGGGAGATTCCTTTTTCTTGAGCAGACATAGTAGCTGTAGGAGTAAGAGACTTAGACTTCTTCTTGTGGATTAGAAGCACCTTCCTTGATGAATTTATCAAGGGATTCCACAATTAGGGACTCACCATAAAAAAGGCATGTATAAAAGATGCTTGTTACAAGCAGGCTCAGCTTGTAACAAGCTGAGCATCAGAGCATCAACACAAAACAATAAAGCTCCGCAAACACAGGGAGAATTTTGTTTGACATTTTTTGTTTTAAGATTGTTCAATTTTTTAATTGTGGGATAAAATCACCATTAATGTAGTGATTGCAGTGACGAGAGCATTTGAAGGAGCAGGATTGAAAAGTTTCCTTGAACAAATTGAATGTGGTGTTCATTCAGGAAAGTCATTTCATTCTAAAACTGAATGTTAAAAGCAAAGGAAATGTTGAAGTACTTTTAAACTACATTCACCAAGTTATCAAATGTACTGAGAATTTTCATACAAATGTTCATACAAACATTTGTTCAAAAATCTATTAGTGTATGGACAGCTTAAAGTGATTGGAAACCCTTATCTAAAACAACACATTCAGTTTAACGTAGAAATGTGTATTCTGTATTGATAAAAAAAAAAATATATACCCTTTTTTCTATTTTTTTATATGTATTCAACTGCATAAGAGCTAGGGGAGAAGAAACAGTAGCACACTGAACTGTTCAATGAAAGGCTGTGCAGGCTGGGGAGGAGGGGTATCAGCATAAGTCTGATCATTGGAGGACAGAAGGTGTGTTCTCCTGCTTCATGTCATCAGTTTTAAAAAGGAAAGCAGAGGGACTTGCAGAAACACCAGGGATTTCACACAAAGGAAGCAATACAAAGAGAACATGGTGCAGCAGGCACATATCAGGAATATGAAATGTTGTATTTACATATTCTCTAAGGCTGAGGAGCATCACCTGCAATTGCTCTAAAAGAGAAGGGGCCTCAAAGACCTGGTCTCTATTCATTTGTCTTGTCCACTTTGCAATAATCTGCCAAATACTGAAGACAGCAACAATAACTGGCTGCAAGGCTAGACCTGCAAAGTTGAAAGATGCCTTTTGGAGGGCTTCCAAATGCTTATCAGTAGAATCCTTAAAAGAGGGAGCATCCTCAATCGAAACTCTAAGGTGTTTATTGAGACAAGAAATGGCAGTATCCACTACCAGAAAAGGCAATTGCTTCTTAAAATCCTATTAAAATTCTATAGAATACATTTCATTTACAAGCTTAGGAGGACTGAATACCCTTTCAAGGTTCCAATGGGCCAGTCCTGAAAGTGCACAATTAATCTGTTCATGTATGGAAAAAGTCTTCCTTGAATTATCCAGTCTTTTAGTGCCCACAGGAGCTTGCTTTTGCTGTGGAGAATCATATGCTGCTCGATGAAGACTAGTGCACACCACATTATTAAGTGTGTCCACAGTAGAGAGAATTTGGTACAAAGCCCTAGCCTGACATTCATAAAATACAGGGGACTGAAAACTCTCTATGGTCACTGCTACAAAAACAGCATCCTCAATACTTTCCTCCATGATATCCTCATGTAAAGGAAGAGTTTCCTATGATTACAGAGCAATAGGGGAGAGTTTTGTGCTTATGGAAACTGATGGCTCTAGAAGCACCAAAAAGTTTCTGAAGAATTAAGATATAATAGCAGAGAAATCTGGCAGGTGGCCGTGTTCCAGTTGCTGTGTTTCAGCACTGGATGGCAGCAAGATTGCAGCAACTTACTGAATCAAATAAAATAGGTATGCCCTTATATAAATCTCATATAATCTTCAGTGCTAAATGAATCAAAAACTTTTTAGTAGAGTGAAGTGGAGTAGGGTCAGAGCCTCTGTCACGTTTTCATGTGGTTCCCCCCATACTCTTTTAGGTCACTCATGAATTATAAGGGGGACCCCATTTGGCTTCTATTGACTTCAATAGGCTTTAGATTTAGCTCCCAAACTTTAGCAATGTTTGCCATACTCATTTCAAACCAAACCCACATATATTCAGCTTATTCCTAAATCAAATGTTCCAAGGCCTTCTCAATAACATAAATTAAAATATCCAGCTTGGTGAGCGAGACCAGCTTCTACAGAGCAAGTGTGCAGGTCTTGGGACTTAAGTGTAAAGATCTAACCACCCTAAAGCAAATTGGAAACCATCAGGCAGTTTACTTACAAAACTATTCAGTAAAATCTGAAATATGACTTTTGGGCACATTGACCCTTTAACTCTGATAAATGTCAAATGTAATCAGTTTAGTGCCTCTTCCAATGTTAACATTCTTGACAATATTACCCAGTTTAGAAAGATGCATTTGTCACATCTCATCAGTGTGAGCTATAATAGAAGCATTTTATTAGGATAAGCAGGGAAATAATACTTACTTGACTAAATGTCCAGGACATGTATACAGTATTTTAGCCTAAAAAATCACAAGGAATCTTTCTAAGCAACAGAGTACTCATTTTCCTTTTGAAAAAAGTAACATAAATTTGCTATCACAATTCAGCAGAAGACAAACATTTTAGATTAAAAATAGAGATATGATATGATACATTTTAAGCTGTATTAATTTAAAAAAACAAAAATGTAATAAAATGCAGCTTACCAAACCTTAGAGTGGTAGTAAACTCCCCTGTGCCTTCCCCCTTATCTGTTTTGCTGCCTTCACTTAAAAAAAAACCCATACAGCTGGCATTCCTGGCTAATGGGAGAGTAGGATGTGTTTCCCCATAGTTTCCTGCTTGGACACCAAGGCTAACAGTTTTTCATCTTTCCTCTGTTCATGGGGAGCAATAACCCTTCTAAGGGTGATCCAAACAATAAAACAGATGCACCTAGGCACTTATTTTTTCACCCCACAGCTCCTTATTGCTCCTGATTGGATCCCTCCATCATGGCACTGGAAAGAGAACAAGAGACCGCACCAACTACCTCTGCTGAACCGCTCTCATATTATATGGACTTGGCTTCTGCACGTGCACTGTCCCAGCTTGCAGCTGCATCCCAACCAGAACAGCTTGCTTCTGCCTCGGAGAGCAAACTTGGAGCACTACATCACAAGGCTGGAAACTGTATACACAGCTGATATTGCTGCACTCAGAACTGAAGTGTCCCATATAGGGTCCCATACAGTGGACCTAGAAACTGCTAAAGAGGATGTTATGGATCATCTAGATCATAATGTAGTCAGTGATCATACAAACCAACTATATGATCTCACCTACCAACTAGATGATCAAGAAAATCAGTTAAACCACAACAATATTAGAGTACAGGGGATCCCAGAGTCAGTGTAACAGAAATATGTGGCCCCAATGTTCCACTCTGTTTTCAGCCAGCTTCCTAACCAAGACAAGGAGACTGATATAGAGCATGATCATGCCCACTGGGCTCAGGGACCTTGTACTACAAATCCAGGTAAGCCTCAGGATGTGATCTGTCACATCCATTTCTATTCTATTAAAGAGGTTATTTATTATGTCTGCAGCCCGAGCATCTAATGAAATTCAGTTCAATGGTTGCCTATACTGATCCTAGCTGATCTATCCATACGCACTCTGCAATTGCACCATGCACTTAAAATGCTGTTGGAGGCACTGAAATCTCTGAAAATTCAATATAAACTCCTTTCAGCACATAGGCACCAAAGAAGGAAACTATGCAGTGTTTTGCAATATGAGTGGCCTACCCAAGCTGTTGGGCACATTTCAGCTTCCACAAATAAAGCTTCCAGACTGGCCCTTTAAACTACTGTTCTCTGGTTTGTGCAAAAGATGGCACAAATCTTCATACAGCAGGTCACAACTGGAAGTCATAACAAAACTTCCCCTGATCTTACTCATTCCGGTATTTGCTTTAACTTCTATGTACTGTAGGTCTTTAGAACTAGCTTGCGCCGTTGATTGTCTAACCATCATCCTATTCATTTCTTACCAGTTTATTGACTATTTTTCTACTTTTCTGCACCTTTCTCCAGTGGCTGGTTTAGTTTAGCACAGTCTCAAATTTACTCCTGGATATGCTATCAGTGAGTTTCACCTGACCATTGCTGTTTGATTAGGTGATAGTATTTCACTTGACTCTTCCATGAAACCTACATGATCCTGACCTAATATGCCTTTGCTATGTTGATTCACTTTGGATATGCAGTATAGTTGTGATGGTTATTAGACTTTTCTATTATTCATATCAACAGTTTTAGAATTCTGTCTTATAGTCTAGTTTTTAGAGAGTTGGAGTCATATTTTCTGGAGATACCATACAATCTTTGACACTACTGTCAAGATCTACATATTTTCAAGATGTTGGACTCCGGGACTTCCAATTTCTTCAAAATCCAGTCATTCCTCATTATTGTACAGTATGTTGAAGAAAAAGTATGTTTCTAAGGTACATGAAGCCTGTTACACTCAACCATTGGACAACTATCGACAGAGGTTCCAGCCAGATGGATTATTGAAAATTCCTACTGT